CGCGCCTGGTCCGTGCCGCCTGGCGCCCCGCTGCTCCGGGCTCTCCGAGCCGGCCGGGCCCTGCCTTGCCGAGCGCTGCCTTTGCCGGTGTCCCTGTCCTCCCCCCGTGCAGCGGGAATGGAAACCGGGCGGGTTGTAGGCTCAGGGCTGTGCCTGGAGGTGGATGGTCTGGTGACGGGTGTGCGCCTGCCCTGGCCCCGCTGGTATGTGAGTGTGGCTGAGCCCCCTTGGAGTTTTCAAACAGCCTGAGTATGACGCCTGCTTCCTGGTTGGCGAGGGAATGGAGCTGTGGTTATTAACCGAGTCCTTTTCTGGGTGAACAGTATAGTCAGCGACAGGCTTTGAGGCTGTGGCCGTGCGGTATGTGGCACTACAGACCTATCTGTGGCACCACATGCTGCACACGTAGGTGTTCCCCACACTGCTGCCTTGCACCGTGGGGGGAAAGGGTTGACCCTAGGAGATCCTGTGGTCAAAAAAACCCCCATGCCTTAAAAAATGGGGTGTACATGGCAGTAGCACGTGCTGCCCAAAACTGGAGCCTGGCCAACCGCAGCCACACTCCAGCTGCCAGCCAGGCTCCCAGCTGCAGGGGCAGCGCTGCTGCAGCTCCCCGAAGCCCCCGGGACCCCAGGTAAAGCTGCTGGAGCCAGTACAGTTACTGGCCCCAGCCTTCCCTACCCCACCTGGGGTAACTTGCTGTCTGCCAGAGGGTGTGTGGCATGGTGTTCCGGAAGAATACGTAGCAGCGCCACTGCTTCTTGTCCCTGGGCAAACAAATATCCACTCTAGTGTGGACACGGCCTGAGAGGGAACACAGAGGTGGTTGGGTACTACTTGTTTGAAGTTTGACTGTGTAGTAGGTTGTTAGATGTGGCTGTATAGTAAATATTTATTTATTTATTCTTTGTTTTAATTTGATTTATGTGCCACCCTTCCCCACAGAGATGTAAGACGACTTAACTTTCAATAAGAGAACAGAATGACTTTTATAGAACAAGAAAGCAAAATGACTTACAAGGAAACTAAAATATTAACACAAAATGGAAACCCCCTCCTCCCACAGACAGTATCTCAGCCTAACTTTCCTTTGCTCAGAAAAGAAGGTCTTGCAGTGCTTCCAAAAAATGCCTGGACTCAGGCTCTGGCGGGCCTCAAGATGGAAAGAGTTCCGGAGCTGATGAGGGCCTCCCGCACATTTTGGCCAAAGACACTTTGGCGTACTGATGGTACTTGCAGGACATGGTACTCTCAGCTGACTTTTTTGATCATGATGGGCACAGCAGAGAAGGTGGTCCTTTTGGCATGTTGAGCCCAGACCAGATCCACCCCCATCAGAAGTTGGGCTACCCAGTTCTGCATTAGCTGCAGCTTCTGGACCATTTTCAAAGGCAGCCCTGCGTGCAGCTTATTGCGGTAGTCTGGCCTTGAGATTACAAAGGCACGGATACAGTTGACCAGGAGATGCTGATAAAGTGTTTGTATGACCTGCTGGGACAGGACATACAAACACAGGCCATACAGATCCCGGAGGGTGATGATGAACAGGGATCCTGGTTCTCCCTGATTTAAAAAACAAACAAACAAACAAAAAAAATCGCAGATTCTCTGATTAAACACCCCAACATTTGTGATTAAAATGAAAGACCACTAATATATATATATATATATCTATCTATCTATCTATCTATCTATATATCTATCTCAGTTGAACACAATGGTTTCTTGATACATTTACAATTTTAAATCAGTTTCGAAGCCTACCAGTGCCTCTGTGTGCAGGGTGGGCGCAGGCTCCTCACCTTGCTGCTGTCACTCGAGGACTCTGCAGCCCAGCAGGTGTGACACAGTGCTGCAAGGCACAGTGGGGCCACACAGGGAAGCTGCTTGCCGCTGCAAGCTCCGTGCTGCTCTAGTGAGGCATCCCATGCCAGCGGGGGGTGGCAGCACAGGGTTGTGCTCCTCGCTTCTGCTGTGCATGCAAGGATCACATCACCAGGGCAGTGCAGAGCTTGCAGTAGCAACAAGCTTCCCTGATGTGCCCTGCAGCACCGGCTCACATCTGGGCTGCCTAGGCCCTGTGGGAGGGCAGCAGGATGGGGAGCCCAAGCCTGCAGCAGGCTGCCTGCATCCACCTCTGCCCCATGCACAGATCTGGGGGGGCACGGGTCCCCTCTGGGATTACACGTAGTGCTGAGGAGCCAACCCCACCCCCACCTACAGTCCTGTCCCACTCCTCACCAGGGCCCTGCGGCTGTGCATTCTGGCCCTGGGCCCCAAGCCTCACACACTGACTGGCTGGGGAGCAGCCCTAGCCCTGCCCAACTCCCTCCCTATGGGGGCCTCAGTTCCCACTCCCCACCCCCTAATTTACCCACGGAAGCTGCTCTCCATGCCTGGCAGCCATGTGCATATGCTTGTATATGGTGCCCTCTGCTTGACCGCTCCCTTCCAGCCCCTTGCAGGCTGGAACTCTGCCAGCCTGCCCAGAGTTCTTTGCAAAACTGTAGAATCCACAAGTTTCTCCATTAAAATGAGAAATCTGCATTTTCCTCAGTTAAAGGGGGAAATTTCCATTTTCCCATGGGAAAGGAAAACCCAGATCCCTGGTGATAAACAAGTGCTTGTCATCCCCTCAGGACCTTTCCAGAACTTCATTTTGTCACTTCTGGCCAGATCCAAATCTGAAAGAAAGGGTCATGCAGCCTTCTCACTGGATGGAGTTAGTGAAAGGTGGTCCTGGCCACCACAGGAACCTGAAGATACAGGCGCTGCAAAGGATCCAGGGATCACCCCAAGGCTGTGAACCTGAGTGATGAGCAGAGGCCAGACTTTATCCATGATTGAGACTTCGGGGTAGGGGTCAGGGTCGGTCAGAAGAGAAGTAGAGATAGTCATCATCAGTATACTTATGGCACCTCGCTCCAAATTTTTACACAATCTCATCCAGCAGCTTTATGTGAGCATTGAACAGGAGAGGTGACAAAATTAATTTCTGGAAAGGCCCTGATGGGATGACGGGCACTCGTCCATCACCACCCTTAGTGGTCCCAGCAGATCATACAAATGCTATGTATCAGTCTTTCCTGGTCAACTGCATCTAAGGCACCTGAAAGATCTAATTAGATTAGCAGGGCACAATTTCTCCAGTTGTTCTTCCAAGTGAAGATTGTCAGACAGGGCCAGGAGCACACTCTGTGCGCTATATTCATGATGAAGGCCAGACTGACCAGAGTCCAAGAAGCCATTAGTATCCAGATACACGTGGTGCTGTTTGGGTGACCACCCGTTCCATGACCTTCCCGAAAAAGGGGAGGTTGGAAACAGGGCGGTAACTGGCTTAGGAGTCAGCATCAAGTGATGGTTTCCCAAGTAGGTTCCAGACAACTGCAAACTTAAGAACATCTGGCACCCTGTCTTCCCAAAGGGAGGTATTGACAACCCTGCCAGCAGTGACCCCAGTCTCCCACAACTGGCGTTTACAGGCCAGGATAGTCAAGGGTCCAGTCTCCAACTGCTTGCCCTCAACCTTGGAAGCATATCTTCTCCATCAGTGGCAATTTAAAATGATCCATTATAAATGAGGAAGCTTGGTCTTGTCCTAATCGTGAACTCTCCTGGCAGCCACCACTTTGCTGCAAAGTTAACCTGGACACTAATGACTTTTTTTGTCTGCAAAGTAGGTGGCAAATTTGTCACAGCAGGTGGGCGATATGGATGATGAGGGAACAACCACTCTAGTTTACATTGGATATACTGCATTTGTCTTTCTGGCAGAAGTGATTTGTGGTATGTCAGGTGCAATTTGGTAGCCAGGCCAAAAAGATTTGTGTTCTGAAAATAGAAGTTTCAACACCACATAACATTCAAGGAATGAAGATTTCTTAGATTTCTGGAAAATCTTGATACAGACAGCAAAAGGGAAAGAATTAGTGAGAAGGGAGCCTGAGTGTATAAAACCAAAGAAGCAGATGGATCGCATTTTTATTCCAAGAGGGGAAAGAGAGCTAGAAGCTGTCCAACTCAAGCTAGCAACAAAAAAACTGCAGAACTGCCTGTCTCTAGGCAGTACTTCTCAAAATTGTTGGAGTAAAGGCACCACTCTTAACATTTGGAAATTGTGGCACCCAATCTCAAATACAAATTTATATATTATAGGGCTTACCTCCTTGCTGAGGGGCTGAGAAATGGGGGTGGAGGATTGGCCAGGCAGGGACAAGCTTAACCCTGCATTAATTTGCTTATCTCTTCACACCTCACAGAAACCCTTCAAAGGATCTGGTAGCACCCCAAGATACTGTGGCACCCTGGTTGAGAATCACTGCTCTAGGGCAATGAAATAAAAAACTATAGGGGATTTATCTCATGGTATCTTAATAGTGTGAAGCAAGCAACTTCTAAATGCAGTTGTCATTGGTAACTCCCAACTGAGAAGATTAGACCAAGCAAAGGATATAAAGACACCTGGGCAGTGCTGTCTCTCTGGAGCTAAATTACTGAATACTTGCTGAAGAGCTTTCTCAATCCTCACTCAATTACTGTAGTGATGTGCAGTGGCAGAACAACCTGGTGTCATGTGGAACTAAGTAGATTTCTTTTTTTTTTTTTTTTTAAATATGTCAGGGATCTTGGAAGGGAACAGGGATCTTCCTGGTACTGTACATGCAAGAGTACAAAATGGGGGAGATGAAGAAGACTTATCTGTATGACTGGTATGAAACTGCAGATTTGGGTTTTGTGAAGCTTTGGGCAATGTTCCAGATGTAGAAAGGGCTGTGTGAACAGGGCAGGCAGTGTGTTGTGGGTACTGGGGCTGAACTGGAGTAGCTGGAGGTCAGTAAACTAACAATGCTAGGGGAGGCTCTAAAACAGGGAACTGTGATTTAAACTCAATGTAGTGTTGCAACCTATGTACAGAATGAATGATGTTTCCAATTGCTGATATGTCGGTGCTAGAAATCTAAATATAGAAGCAGGGAAAATTGTGCATCTGTATTGATTAGCCTCACTAAAACATGATGAAATTATTTGCATAATTATTTGTTCCTTAGTTTATAATCTTAAGAGTGAATAAAAGTCATTCCACCTAGGCTCTGATTGCCTATGAGAGATAACTGGGAACCACAGGACCATGGATGCATACCTGTTTGTGTGCTAGCTAGCAGAGCCTAGGGGAGGGGATGTGGGGAGGAGGACAGGGACGTGATCTGTTATATGCAAATGAACAGAATCGGAGATCAGGATGAACTGTTCTAAGCACCAATCTATAACGTGTGGAACAGGAAAAATGGTGGTGTCTAGAATTTCTCTTTGGGAGGCATAGGCCAGCATTCTCATGCTGTTAGTAGTAAATCATAATTAGGGTATCTAAAAATATCTATGATTTTCTAACACAAGGCATATTGCACCCAACACAACTTTAGACCTTTTTATGACAATAAACATGACTTATTCACTGAACTGGAAGTTTGCATTTATCTAGGGACCAATTATACGTCTATATTTCTTCATAGGTTTTTATTGAGTAATGAGCAGAAGACAAATATTTGGAATGAATACTTTTGTATTTGTAACAAATAAACAAACGGGATAAATTAGCCATTTTTTCTGTTCTTAATTTATCCAGGAATAAGGCTGCTTCCTACAGACTTCTTAATTTGTAACTGTGAAAGCATTGCAGCTGGATTTGTGACAAATTGGTTGAATATTACCAGCTTTCTTGTTTTTTGCTTTTGAGTTTTTTTTTTCATACATGTATGTTTTAATACAATTACTAGCAAGGAAAATGCAAAATAGAAATGAGGGGCAACTTATTTTGCCCAGTTCTGCCCAGTTTCCAGTCTGGGAACAGTGTATCTTCATTTCTTCATAATAGCTACACCTGCAAGCTTTTGGTCATGTGAGATTTTTTATTTGGTCAGTTACATCCAGTAAATAAGCTTATTTAAATTATCTTTGAGTAAATTACTAATATAAAGAGTTCCAGTTCCATTTTATTTTTGTGCAATTTCTAAATTAATGTAATATTGAAATTTGGGGGAAAATGTCTTTGAATAAGGAACCAGCTTCAGTCTTGTGTGATGCATCACTGCCACATCATATATTGGCTGGAGAGACAAAGAGACATTGTGGCCCTGCTGTCATATGGAATTCTACTATGGATGGAAGCAGATCTAGTGAGGGGAAAAAGACAAGTGTCAGGTCCAGTATCTGCAAGCATAGATCATATTTGCAGCTGAATATATATGGTAGCTCTGGAAACCTAAATTATTTGGC